CCAGAATCAGACTATATGTTAGAATCACTTTTCAAGTGATTGTTTGCATGTGTGTGTGCCCTGGATAGCCCCCAACCCCTTAACTGAAACATACATTTTCTGCTTTTGTCAAAAATAAGAATATGTTGGAATACAATAAGATTAAAGCTCAGTTTGACATTTAGATAATAAGGAAAGCTTAAGCTACTGTCTCAATGCTCCTTGGAAAATCTCCACTCCAAGTGCAGCTGCGGAATTTAAAGAAATAGCGGTTCAAGTTAATTCATTTCCATTTACAATACTTTTCAGAAGAATTCCAAATAACTTGGTACATCTATACACTGTCCTGGGAATTCAAACAGTCAGGTAGATAACTCAAAAACAGAAAAGAATCTAACCCAAGCTGCAACTTATATATGAAACTTTACTACGCAGAGGTGTAAACATGCTCTCCTAAGTAGGCAAACAACTAGTTAGCTTGAACTGGAGCGAGAAATTCCGAAGTCGCTCTCGTCTCCCTCTGGTGGCCGGATTGAGACATGACGCTAAACTTTTTGACATTTCACTTATTCAACAAGCACTTGTACCCAAAGTGAGTCGCATTTTTTGAGAAGGAAGGGTCAGACAGAACCTGGAACAACCGGGGGTTAAAGACCTTGCTTAAGGAATCGATGGTGAAATTACTGCTGACTGCAGGATTTAAACCAGTAACCTTTTCATCACAGGTTTAGTGTCGTAACTAGGGTGTCCACCCAATCCACGGCAGGGGTGACACTATGAGCTACTTCAAGTTTTACAAACTACTTTAAACCCGAAAGGCTCCAATTCTTGGCTAAATAGTTCAATTCTTCTTCTGCTTTGACTGGTTTGTTTCCTCGATTGAAAGACTCATCCAGATGTTTCACATTAACATTAGTGACACATGATTGGCTATAGGAGACTGACCAATCAGCACACAGCAAGAACTCAGTGCTAAAGTGAAAGCCAGGTCCTTTTAATTGAAATGGTAGTTTGCTAACCCTGTCCAAGCTCATAGTGCCCCCCCCCCCACTGAGCCAAAAACCAGCCCCACGTTTTAATTGGGTACCGAAAACCTACGGTTGCCTATTACAGGTTCTGGAACCCACTATGTTGGCTGTTGTTCTTTTTACAACTGAGCTCATAATAAATTGGACAAGGCTTCTACCATAATGGGGCAAATGAAGAACATTGCAGAAAATCCTCATCCATTTGTGTGGAGCAACTTTCCCTCAGATTTGCTGTGTCACACCTTTGCTGTGTGTCGGTGCCATCGCCACTCTACAGTCCCTGTCCACTTTCCCACCAAATAAAAAGCAATTCATTCATCATATGTCGATTTCTAACACCAGGGTGTCAGAAACTGGCCCAATTACCATCATCGGCAAAAGTTACCACTTCTGTAAACAACTTACTAGCAGCGAGTGAGTTTGAAACAATTGATTTGTCCCCCTACGGTTTTCCATTTATTGTCAGGCTGAATAAAGCAGGCAGTATCTGACTGTGCATTGATGATAGATCTTTGAAAACCTAACAGCAAAGGGATTGGGCAACTACTCCTTCTGATAAACAGTAATTCAGAATAAAATACACTTTCACAAAGTGTCATATTTTGCTTTTCCTGTCCATGACAAGTGGAAATACTCATAACAGAATATGGCTGTTCTTGCATCTGTTTTGTTTATAATTAATTTTGGGAGTTGTTGCATGCCAAGTGTCCCTTCACAATGACTCAGTGTTCATGGTAGAATGAGAAAACGATGACCTTAGTACTGCAGAAGCTGCCAGATGAAATGAATCTGAATGAGGTCTTACAGGAGCATTCAGCTGCAGAGCATGACAGCAATCTCCAGGAAACTCCAGTAATTCCAAAATGCAGTTATCCCTATACAGTAAATATATGTCATTCTGGAAACAAATTGAATATTTGAACCATGTAATCACTGATAATGGCATATTTTGTGCAAGTATACAGGACAGTTTGCCAGGCAGGAAATCATCATTATCAGGTAGTGTTAAAAGGTTCTCCTGGTGTAATTTTAATATAATTCAGATATAATAAATAACCACATACAGATTATAAAGTATTGAAACAAACACACATTTATTAGGCACAGATGTTAAAATTATACACAATGCAATTCAACATTTCTAATTGCTATTGCTCTTTTTACTTATATTTTGATTAATCTTTGCAAAAGATGAACTTAATTAAATTAATGGATCAAATGATTTCGACTAAATCTGGTGGAATTAATAGCTGCATATTTCTCACTTCATTCATTGTCATTCACGCTCTAAGATTTATTTCTGAATGAATAAAACAGCATCGCCTGCATTTTAATAGCAAGTATGAAACATAGTTTATAATTCTATTTTTATACAGCTGGTTTCAATTCATGTCTGCCAATAAGCAAAGCATTTAACCTGAATTGCTACAGTAAAATATTTAACTGTATTAAAGCTCACAAAATGCAAGATGGTTAGCAGTGTGAATCAGTTTGTAAATCAATATATGTTTCTCACAGTTTAATATGCAAATTTATCATTAAGTAAAATAATTGTCTTTGTGTAACAGTTTCATGTGCCAAAATCACATTTGCTTGGTGATTTTACGAAGCTACAATAATGACATAATACAGACAATTTTAAATCATATTCTTTCATTTCAATTCAATTGAATGTTAAGTAAAGATGGTTTTATAGGCACAATCACTTTAATGGTGCAAATATACAGGAAATACACATAATCAACCTGCCTAAATTACCTATAAAAAAATAAGAGGGATTAAAACACCCTTGCTTGCAGTACAATTTCATTAATGGAAGCAACAAAATTCAGGGCATAACACGAACCCCCCCCAGGCATCACTAATTCTCTGTTTGTTTGTCAGTGTCTAAAAGATGTACAAAGTTACCATTTCGGTTTATGACTCCAGATGTAGCTCAAGACGACCAAGTCATTATCTATTAACTGACTCGCATCCTCAAATCCCACATGCCTAAATGTTGCACATCAGCTGTAATCATGACGTAATCCTTAATTTCACACATCCTGAATAAATGATAAATCTCGTGTAGCTAAAGTAAACTGTAAGGATGGCATTGCCATTATGCTGTGCTTGGATATAAAATTCTCTGACATTTTAAAACCATGTGAACCTCAGGAGCTTTTTGCTTAACAAATACTGAAGTGAGCCAAGTCATGGCAGAAGAAGTCAGATAGTTTGAGTACATTTTACTTTCAAGTCTTAAGGCTAAAAAAATGGAGTGATTTATTTAATTAGAATGGAAAGCTTTCTAAAGAGTAATGACGCAAACATTATTAATCCGGATTATACTTCATCTCTAACCCTTTCAAATGTATTTCTTTGAAAGACAAACTATATTAGAAATGTTTACATTAATCCTAAAAAATCTGTATATAGATGACAGAAACTGAGTACTGAGTCCTATTTACTGGATGATTATAATAAGTTCATATATGTGAACTAATAATTCATTTAACTGCACTAAATGCACATACATAAATGATGTTTAAATGATCTTCATGTTGGTGTAAAATGATGCTATTATATATATTATGCTTTGATATTCTATAACCTAATGAATTTATAAATTTATAACATTTGTAAAAATAAAACTGCACAGTATGGGCTCAAGAGAGCTTGAAATTGGTAGCTTGTTTTTTTATCTCAATGGCTTAAAGCTAAATATTATCTAATAAAATCTAATGAAAAACCAGCACATACTTTGTTCTGTTAAAAACATTCGGTTTCCTTCACAGTGCTCCTTATTCCAAATAAGCAAAATCCTCTTAGGGGAGTGAAGGCATTCAGTGATAGATTTGGTTATTAGTCATGGACCTTAAACTCATGTGTCTTAACAAGCTTAACAAGGATCACGACAAAACTATGATCAAAATCGAGCATGGCAAAATATTAATGCACTATGGTTAGAAACAACCTTATGCTTCACTTGTTAATTGCTCTATTAGCCTCACATGTAAGTCAGTGGGTTAGGCCACTGTACCCATATTCAGAAGGTAGCTGGTGTGAGCCCATTGTCAGCAGAACGGTTTCGCCATTACACCGTTGAACAAGGCCCTCAGTCCCCTTGGCTCCAGCAACAAGCTGGCCCTACTCGTACATCTCTTTGGATTAACATGTCAGCTCAGTAAGTATACAGTGATCCCCTCGCCTATCGCGGAAGTTAGGTTCCAGACCCATCAGCGATAGATGAAAATCCGTGATAAAGACCACATAGATATATATATTTTTTATAGTTTAAGCCTTAAAATACTCCTCCCACATGCTTTAAACACATGTAAACTCATTAAAGCACACTTTGTAAACACATATGATATGTGGATGTCGGGCTAAGGATATGAGTAACATAATAATAATAATAATAATAATAATATGTAATGTATATGTATACAGGTATATATACACACATCGTAGAGAACTGTGATGCGTCGGGGAAAAATCTGCGATATAGCGGGGGGCGCGATAGCTGAACCGCGATATAGCGGGGGGCGCGATAGCTGAACCGCGATATAGCGGGGGGCGCGATAGCTGAACCGCGATATAGCGGGGGATCACTGTGGTTAATTTCCAATAAGTGGAGAATGAGACAAAATAAAAACAGAATATGATCCATCTGTCGTGTAGCTATTTATCCTGGGGTGAGCTGGATATTGAGGTTAGCCTGACTGCATGTCTTTGGGCTGTGGGAGGACATTGGAGCACCCTGAGGAAGCCGTCACACAGACATGGAGGACAGACAAACTCCACAGATACACAGCGGACACATCAGTCCAACACTGAAGGCACGAAGAAGCACTGAGCCGCCATTCCGCTCATTTTAGTATATCAGCTAGCTAAATATTTAATATACCATTTTTATCTCTTTTGTTACCCGTTACTACAGTCAACATGAAGATTCCAAGTGAGGGGGACCTCAGTGAAAACCTAGAGGATATTTAATGCAAAACAACAACTTTACTTCTTCTTCTCAGTTTCGGGTACTGAAAAAATTTCCCCTGTAAGCAACTGCCAGATTCCCGCCCTGTAACTTTCACTTCCGAAGGCATACAAGAAGAAATGGAACACTGGAGAGGTCTTTGCCAGAAGCGGAAGGATCTATTTAAAAAAAGAGGAAAGATGTAACTTTAATGTATTCATGGAAAACCCCATTCAGGCTGATAGCACCTACAGAATGCAATGATTTCCATTAGTCTTTGTGTCACTTTGACTTCTACTCTAAGAACTAACTGAGCTAAACTGCACATCTCCATACAAGCCCCCCTCTCCTTACCATCCTCAGCTTAGGCGACAGAAGGTTCACGTTCTTAACCATAGCAAACATACACAGCAGCACGTAGGGACCCCAGCAAAACATTAGTGCCATCAGAGGCAGTTTGGTGTTGAACTGAAAGACAGACATACACAATGTCACATTCAATCATTTTGCATCAACGCTCAGAAATACATCACCTTGAATACAATTTATTTAGTACTGAAAAACAGCACCTTCGATTAAAAATATTCTACCTATGTAAAGTGATTATTGTGTTCCATTTTAGAATAAACAAATGAAGAGTTTCTTTTGAGAATGTCATGGAACAGATACACTAATTGTAGATCTAAGAAGCTTTGATCCTTCATTTATTTTGCTTATGAATTTCAGATTTGAGCGCCATATACAGCAGCTATTCGTGGCTGTTTATCGTTTTACCAGCCATGCACACATATAACAGATTAAACATGGTTTACCTTGTACTTTCTGGTTCTTTTGAACTGGTTGTATATGGACTGATAAGAAGAATGCATAGTGATGGCTGGGATGATGAAGAACAAGGCGGCCACTGACAGTGTGTAGGCTGTGTAGTTCCTGCAAAATAGCAGCACCCACAAACACGCTTCATTTTTATTTGCACGACTACAGGTACATTGGGAAGCTTCTCTTCACCTAACTCCTTCTGGCTCTCCATAGCTTGGGGGTCACAGCTCAGGGTCAGCAACATGCGGTGTCCCTGGGGCTTGGAATTAAGGGCCTTGCTCAAGGGCCCACAGACATGTGACTGTTCTACCACAGCCAGGGCTTGAACTGCTGATTACAGGCACAGAGACTTAGCCTGCGGAGCCACTCGCTGCCCCCATAAACAAAATAGCACAGCAATGCTTAGGGAATATGCACAGAGATTCAACAAACAGGAACAAATTGGCATCAAACAGGGAATTAAAGTACAATGGCCATCATTGACATCGCCATTGAGATTTAGAAATTAGAAACAGCTGAGTGCTGTTTCCTGAAGGAAGATGATGTATTCTGATGTCACTCAATCCTTTACGATATATACACTGCGGTCAGATTTAGTTATGGATATATTATCCAAATGTAAATTTTTTAATATTAGTATATGATTAATATGACTATTATTCTGATTGCAATCAAAAAATCCTATAAAAATTGAAAGACTAACCAAGTCTCATAACAAAACTAATACTCAAGAGGTACTGAACTTAGACTTATTAAAGTTTTCATAGGGACAGATGGACAGACAGGAGGATGGACGGGCAGGTGGACAGATGGACAGAGAGAATAAGCATACCAGCCTCCCTTGCTATAGTCCAGTGTACAGCAGGTCTTTAGGGGTTCAAAGTCATATTCACCCCATCCTTTGAGAGGGAGGACAGACCAGAAGACAGCAAGCAGCCAAATAATCACTACCACAGTCACTGCTGTGGTCCAGGGTAACTTCTGTCCTGAGAACAGCAAGTAAACAATGTGGTTCAATTTCTTATGGTGGATACTATGATTTATCATATTTATCGTAAAAATTGAATTTGACATGGATACAAATATAAAGGTTATGCCTGGCCGCATAAATTGAATAAATAAAAATGATACACAGATACATTTAAATCCGTTTTAGTTTTGAGTATAACGTTATCAATTTGTTTCTGGAATATATCCTTTTCATCTCCATTAGCTTTCCCCGTGCACTGGTCTACTTACTGGTGCAGTACTCATGGTATCTGTCCCAGGCAACCACACCAAGGAAGCTGATGCTTGCAAGCACAGCCACCATGCCATGGAAAGCATGGACCTGGCATCCCTCTGGACCGTAGGGCCAGTACCTGGGGGGCAGAGGTGAAGGACGTGTCAGCATTGGCTTTCATTTTTCCTAACGTAAGAGAACACACCTTACAATCATTAACATAAACATTGTTGCTTGTACACTTACATCAAAACTATTCAACCAGGTGATCAACTTTTCTGAGTTCTTTCTGAGTACTTTCTGAATACATTCTGAGTACTTTCCCTTCTCCAATTATTGCCTCCTTCTACTCACAGGATAATGATACGTTTACTCCTACAATTCTTCCTACGCTTCCATGGTCTATGATATTCCTTTTTATTCAGCTTCAAATTCGGTTTATAACTCTTCTTTATCTATATAACCACTCTTGTTATGACATACAGTATGTGCAGCTGACCTAAGTGCTTTGTCATGGCAGTTGTTACTCATTATATACTGACTTATATTAATCATACACTAATATTGAAACATTTACATTTAAGTTACATTTTTTGAAAAGTATGTTGAGAAGCATCCAAACAAAGAAAAAAATACCTAAGAAAGCTTGCATAAGCAGCAAAGAGTCCATTAACATTGAGACTAATATCAGCGACGGCCAAGTTAAAAAGAACAAAATTATTTGGGGTTTGCAAATCCTTTATTGAAAGAAATGAAAGAATTGAGAGGAAATTGAGGAGAAATCCTGAGAGACCTTTAAAACAAAAGGGAAAAATTTGATTACAAACAGCATACAAGCAGTACATACACCAAAATGCACTGTGCAAAAGATAACATAATGTAACATTATTTTTACATGCTTTTTAATTTCTTACCTTCTACGACAAGAGCACAGCCAAATGTATACATATCAAAGTCAGTAAAACCTTCTGGTAAAATATACGGAGTATCCATTTTGCTCGTTACTTTGACTCTGCTACTCCTGTCTGAAATGCCTGCAAATATTGGACCGTAACCCTTTTAACCCAAAAGGAGATTTCACTTAAAATCCATTTACGTCACACTGAAAAGCCCTTTTAGTTTTTTAGGTAATTCCAACAAGAATGCTGTAATGAGCGGAACAGCATTCCTAGCTTTCTTTTTGGTTAGATGTCAGTGAAATAACAAACAGCGACAGGTCGCACTTTACATAATCAAAGAGTGTTTATTGTGTCAAATGTCTCATTTTGGCTTAATGCTGCTGGACCACAATGTGCACTTATGATTCACAGATGTTTTCCACTTGGGAAAAGGGCATCTGAGGTCAAATATTAGAATCAAGAGTTTAGTTGTGAGATTTTAACAACAATGGTTATACTGGGCAGTAAACGTTTGCTTGGGATTATAAGTTTGGGAAAAATAAACAAAGCGGGTCATATCATTAAATGTGGCCATTCATACTTCTCTCACATGTAGAGGTGCATCTATATCTACACTGGCCCCTGAAGCTTGGTATGCTGAGCAAATGTAGTTCCTTAAACTAGAAAAATATGTTTCAGGTTTAAATAAATCTGCTAAAACACATCTTATTGTAGCAGCCAATAACGTAATAGCTACCAATAACGTAATAGCTACCAATAACGTAAAAAATTTTTCATACATTGACACCAGCCTCTAATGTAATAACCAGCCAATAATGTAGTAACATATTACATAATACACATAAGTTATTTTGATAATTACATCAAGAATGGAAAAATTATTATGTTATTAGCAATTATTACCATATCAGCATTTATTACATTATTGGCTGCTACACGTTTGTTATTTTAATATGAAGTACTGAAGTTATTTATGAATTAACATATGTCCAGGGAACATGATATCGAGAACCCCAATAACTAGGGTGCAAGGACTTGTATGAAAAATGTGACCCCTGCTGAAATATAATGACACTTATTATTACACTTCAGTGAACAACTTAACCTTAATGTTTGAAAGTTCCCTTTTGGGGACATTCTCTATATTAAAGTTGCCAAATGACGGCATTTAAATACTGAATGCACTTAAAAAGAATTATGTTTAACTTTAAAATAAATGTTTACTGAATCTCTATTAATTATTTCTTTTGCCTCATGATGTCATAATAATATTTATATTTGGTAATTACATCATATTCACTTACTTTTCAAAAATAAAAGTGAAAAACCTTACCAAATAAAAATATTCAGTAACACTTTTCTTGAAGCTGTCATCTATAATGCACTATAGATACCTTCATAATGAATTGTAATGATCAGTATAAGAATTGATAAAGCATTACAGCATTTTCTAGTGACAGTCATAAGACATTATAGTGTCGATTATAAGAATTATAATCTTATAATTATAATGCCGATTATAATGAACTCCAATGAAGCTCTCATTCATAATGGTATAAATACCTTTAGAAGGCATTATAATGGTCAGTATAAGAATTAAGGATGCTTTACACTGCATTATTTACTGGCTATATCTATAGAGCCTTATAGATGAGAGCTTCATAAAGCATTCATAATGCATAATAAACATGACTGTAATACATTCTTAAAAATATTTATAGCCATGTTTATGAATGCTTTTGTTTATGAATGCATTATAATGCGTTATGAATATGTTCATAGATTCTTAAAGGCTTGGCATTCATAGAAAGTGCTACTAAATATTGCTCCAATGAAACATTCAGAAGCTGTTCCTCTGCGTATAATCATGGGACTGAATGCAGCCTATTGGATTCTGGGAAGCAATAAGCATGTAGATGAAAATAACCCAAGTCCTTTCACTAATCGCCTCTATCCCTTTTATCTGGGGATTCAGAGCGGTTAGATCAGTATGGACAGGGGACGACAGGATGACGTGGTGTTTCTGATGTCCAGATAAGCTAGACTGCAGTCCTTTGTTATTCTGTAGAATAGAAACGTAGCTGAGAAGAAACATGCGTTGGCGGATTAGTGCTTTTCTTGGCTTGGCCTTAGTTTGCCTCCCGCTGGTATGGAGCTTATGTCCATCTCAGTGCAGCTGCTTCTTCCATAAACTAAGTGACGGGTCAAAGGCCAGGTAAGTCGTCTCCCACATATCAGTCAGTACTCAAGTTAATGCACGTCTTTCTCTCCGTAAAGATAGAGCAACGACAGTTTCATTCAACCCTGTTGTTGTTTTCCAAGGTTTTCTGTTTTCTGTCAAGGTAGGATTAATGTGCTGATTTTCTATAATCTCTCTTTGGTTACTAATGGACATTGCTTTACAGTACATTGATGGAAAGCAAGGTTTCCTGCAGAAATAAGACATTTTATAAGTTAGTAGTTTGTAAGTAGGCAAGTTGCAATCCATACGTATTCTAATAATTATTGTTTTTTTACTATTCTTTACAATAGCTAAAATGTGCAAGTAAAACATTTGCCTGTGTTTTTTAATTTGTTTATGGTGGTACACTTCTGTTTCATTTACAGGAGTGTCATTTGCAATGATCCAGAAATCTCAGTGGTCCCTGCAAATTTTCCACTGGATACTTCCAAACTCCGAATTGAAAAGACGGGAATCAGGAAGATAGCAAGTGAGACTTTCCATTATCTGAACAATCTGGAATTCTTGTGGATGTCTTTTAATGCACTATCCTCATTATATCCGGACAGTTTCCGTGGCTTATCCGGCCTTGACGAGCTGCGTCTGGATGGAAACGCCCTTACGTCCTTTCCTTGGAAATCACTCTCTGACATGCCCAATCTTCGACTTCTTGACATACACAACAACAAAATCGCCTCAGTCCCAGCAGAGGCGGCAATTTACATTAAAAACCTGACATATCTGGATCTGTCCAGCAACAACTTGGTAACTGTGCCCTTGGAGGTTCTGTCAATGTGGTTAACTGTAACACCCACTCAGGATGCAGAGAATTCCAGAATGATCCTAGGTACAGTAAGGGGTTCATTTATATTTGATATTTGAACTTCCAGTTTTTATTTATTGTCATTTGTTTGTTTATTTCAGTTTTACAGCTACAGCCCTAAAACAAAAGGATCAACATAATGAAAGAGTCTTAATAAAACATTAAAATGAATGACTGTAAGGTGAATTTTATGCCCTGACTTATCAAATACATATATGAAATGAAGCAGGGATGATTACAGTGTTAAAATAATCTGTATATCAATACCATTAGAATAATAATAATTATTTATGTTATCAAACTGCAAGACATATTTCTTGTTTTACATGTATTCCCTGTATTTCTTTCCTTTTCTCATCCTTTAGGTCTTCATGATAATCCCTGGGTTTGTGACTGCCGGCTGTACGAGCTGGTCCAGTTCCAGAAGCCCCCATCTCCACCTGTAGCCTTCATAGACACCAGGCTGAGGTGCGCCGCGCCCGAGAGCCTCTCGGGGGTGCTGTTCAGCGATGCCGAACTCAGGCGCTGCCAGGGGCCCCGGGTGCACACCGCCGTGGCCCGCGTGAAGAGCGCCGTCGGCAATAATGTCCTGCTGCGCTGCGGCACCGTCGGCATGCCCATACCAGACCTGTCCTGGAGTAGGACTGATGGCAAGCAAGTGAACGGGACGGGTGAGTGAATTGGTCCTCGGTGTTCCATAACAGAACTGCGTATAATAGAATTTAGTGTTACATGTGTGATAGAAGGGGAGACTTGGTGGTTTGGTTTGCCTATATCCCACCTCTGTGTGCCCTGTGTGTGTGGAGCTTGCATGTTCTCCCCCTGTCAAGTAGTAATAAGTTAATGTAAACAGCATCTCTTAAGTACCCATAGTGTGGGTACATGTATGTACCCTATGATGCACTGGCATCCATTCACCCAAGCATTAAGCCCTGTGCTACCTAGGATAGACTCTAGGCCCATTGACCAGGATAAGCATTTAGAATATATCCTGAGAAACAAGGAAAAAAGTGTCCTTCAATTGTAGGTTATTTGTCTTTGGAGGAAATAAGACATCTTACAATTAAATTTTTTCAAATTTATTTTTATTTTTAATTTCGCAGCATGTCCTGTTTAGTGCACAACAGGAATAAATATGTTTCCGAACATCAGTGAAAAACTAAATGCAAAAATACAATGTCCACTACAATGGACATAAATGAATAGGTCGGGTCTCAGGAGGATATTAAGGTGCACTGCACCAGATACCGTACTTATCGAGATAAACACATAGTAGATCAGTTTGAAAAGGAACAATCACTGAAATTGCAGTGATTGATAAGTTTTGTTTCCTATGACAGAGTAAAAATGTTTTAGTGAAACTTAAATCCCACATGTTATATTGCCTGTACAGCGTGAAGGTATGAAAAAGCCTGATCTCAAAGGAGCTGTCAGTATTAATATCGCACATTGCCCAGACCTATAAAATACTACAGCCATTTTTCGAATTTAGTACAAAATACCCGCCTCGCACTGTGAAGTCATTCGGCGGCAGTACCAGTTTTTACGCCAGTGAAAAACACAAAGTATCATACTTTTGGTACTTATTTGGTTGCAAAAGTACGATATCTGGTCCAGTCGAAAAGCGTCCTAACAGAACCCTGTGATCCTATACCTGATGAGCAGCTGGAAGATGTATGTAACGGCTTTGGAGTACTATTTTGTTGCAACGTTGTTGGAAATGAGAAATAGCTCATCCAAACTGATTTCTACTAGACATTCATCTTACGCTGCTTTTCTCTTGCCTACAGTTCAACAAGAGGTTTCAAAGGAGGGCATTATCTGGTCCATTTTAAGTGTTCCTGCCGTTTCATACCGTGACTCTGGGAAATACATTTGCAAAGCAACAAACTTTATCGGAAGTGCGGATGCCATTATCTCACTGATCATAGCGGATGCCATAAAGTTGGACAATGAAACGAGTAGTACTAAACGATCAAGGGGGAAAAGACCAGAAGGACTGGAAAATCCTGGTTACCAGGAGAAACTCGTGGCAAGGGGCTCTGGCCCAGCGGCCGCCAATAAGGGGTCTAGTATGGAATCATACGGCTTCACTGGACCATACCCTAACATTGAGAGCCTCTCAGATGGCACCACAGAGGAACAGATGCTCGGAGCAACCAGCATGGAGAAGTTGCTGGATGTGGAGAAGACCCTGCTGAGCAACCTGACTGCAAATGCTTCATCACAGCAGCAAGACCCAGACAAGCGAGTGGTGAGATCAGTAAAGGTGATCGGGGACACTGACCACACAGTGTCCCTGAACTGGAGGGCCCCCACCGCCAGAAACACCACAGTGTTCAGCGTGCTCTACGCTGTTTTTGGAGAGCGGGACATGCGGCAGATTAACGTCAGCCCGGGAAAGAACAGGATCACCATCGAGGGGCTGAAGCCAAAGACAAAGTACATTGCCTGCGTGTGTGTAAAGGGGCTGATCCCAAAAAAGGAGCAGTGCGTAATCTTCTCAACAGATGAGGCAGCCAGTGCCAGTGGCACCCAAAAGCTCATTAACGTAGTTGTGATCACTGTTGCCTGCGTGATCGCCGTTCCTCTGACTTTGATCGTCTGCTGCGGGGCACTGAAGAGGCGCCTCAAGAAACTCCTGGGTAGAAACTCAAAAGACGTCCAGGACTCATACATCACCTTTGAGACACTGTCCCCGGCAACGAATGCGAAGGGCCTGGAGGGAGAGTACCTGACAAGGCTGAACCTTGATGAGTCCAATCGACTCCTCTCAGCCAGGTCAAGTGTGGACTCAGAGGCAACTGTCAGAGCGGAGGGACAGCCGAATGAGTACTTCTGCTGATGACCACCAGCAGAACCTCACATTTTCAAGAATAGCAGTTTTGCTGCTAGGTGCAGTTTCCTTGTAGGCCTGTAGGTTGGTGCAGCGATTGAGGCATATTACACTGATCCTGCATGTGGAATGATCAAAAGAATGCTTTTATAATTAGAATTTTGCTGTTGGTTAAAGTACTTATCTTCTTGCTGGCCATATTGGCATGAACTCTGTCTAATTCTGCGGCATATGGCCTATTGAAGGCACAGGCTAAAGACATGAAAAGAAAACAAAAGAAAAGTAGAAAAAGAAACAAATACAAAAATTTTCATTGTAAATATGACAGATGTTTATGCATAATTGTAAAACAGTACTGCATTTTACATGCCGTGCACTTACAGATATATCTAAACAACTCGAGCGCAAATTTTTGTGTTCATTAATGGTTACACTGTAATAAGAATTTTGGTTTGCTCATTAAGGCATTTTTCAAAGGAACATCAGTTGTCACTGTGGAGTTTGCTGGGATACACTGTTTCACTGGATACAGAATGAAACTTGACAGGTTTGTACATGTAGGGTTGGGATCAGCTTGTAATGGTGTCCACAGATGTTCATGTGCCAGGTATTACACCCTCTCATTTAACCTTAACTGCCCTGACTTTATAACTCAGCAGAGAACTGTATATATATATATGTACATTTCATTTATAATATGTTAAATTGTTTAAATACAGTATTCTGAAAGTATTATTTTACAATCCTTTAATTTAGTGGTTGATCTTGTTTAAGTTTTGACATATAATACAAATATTGCACATGTGGTATACTGAACTTATTTCTGAGATGTGTCGTTTTTTGAATTTCTGAAAAACATTTTGATAAATTGGTTCTGTAAAACACGTATAATAATATACATTTCTTTTCAGTACTTGACCTGGTATTTGGCATTATTTGCCAAAAATATAAATAGTCAGAGTAAGGTAGTTGTCATTCTTAGACATAGAATACATGATTCTTTACCATAACGAAACCTAAGGTAAAAGTACTTTAAGTTTCCAAAAAAGAGAAATCTGAGTAAAGTAAAAGTATCTTGTTTAAAAAGTATCCAAAGTAGTGAGCATTTTTGAATTACAAAGTGAACTACATGTGATTCAATGACGTGATGCCTGATTTTTATAAAAGTGACAAAATAGTTTTAAAAGTTTTCACCACATTTACACCTTAGATGCAATATGTTAAGTGTGTACAGCTCATTTTATGACTTTGTATTCAAATAATACATCACAGTTGAAACACAACAGGGTTTACTGCAGCCAAGAAGAAATCGCATGATTCCGTTATGGTATAATAAAAAATATAAAAATTAAAATAATAATAATAGATAGATACCTTTTTATTGATACCTGTGGAGAAATTCTCTTTTCTTGCTCTCTGTAGGTGAGAGCAAACTTGGCTGTGAAGGGCAGCCACCTGTTGTGGCACCCGGGGGGCTGGGGGTTAGGGGCCTTGCTCAAGGGCCCACAGACGTGCCAAAGCCGGGCTTGAACCAATGACTCAGTTACCACAATGAGGTGGTCTGCCTAATAATATGCCAGTTTTCATGTCCTATCTATCACAATGTGAAAGTAATCTCGTCTCTCTCATTTCTGCTGCCACAATGCACGGGTCTGAGGGCTATTACACTATTTTCCTGAGATCACAAAACAACAAAAGTTATCTGTGGAAAACAAAAGCTATAACTACAGGGTTGCCAACTTTGGTCAGCTGGCTAGCATGAGATTTTCAATTTGGGACAAGTCTACACACACATTTACATGTATTTCATTTTACAAATTAAAAAAATGTGTTATTTACTACAGTATGTGCAGCAGTCATACGCTATTCTTTGCTTTTAAACCGTTTCAGTTCGGAAGGTTGCAGTGACATTCTGAATTTTAGTTTGTAGAGATTAAAGACGTAAGGCTGTGGTTCGGCTGTTGTGGAAATAGGCCTACTTGTTGACATTTTTAAACCAAAAATAAGAACTTTTACTTTACATAAATGTTTATTTTTAATTAATTTACTGTAATATGTTACCAGATCATCACGCTTATATGTATCTCATTGAGAAATACTGGTAATGTGTGATCAGGTCCAGATCTGTAAATCGGGAAAAAATTATTTCTTCGGGTGGGTGGCTGGTGGATGATTTATGCGTACATATGGATTCCGCTAGACGAAATACATACATTGACGGGGGGCCTTGTTTTGCTTAGGTAATTTTGCAAAACTAACGTCCAATGATTTCTAAATCATCTTCCAGATACAATAACTAATAATTTTAATGGTAGGAAACGTGCAAGAAAAATGTGCGTGACATATATTGTTTTACATACAAGCAAGGATGGAGCAACTATATAGCTGGAAACTTGCCTGTCATGCGCAGTAAATATAAGCTACATCATTGTATGACATAACACCCAAACACGCTGAACTACATTTCCTGGTGTCCTCCTCTTTAAACACTAGTTCATGTAAATAAATATAATCTGCATTGATCACCTCCGGCTTTTTTCACATCTAAAGAGAAAACCAATTTTGTTTCCGATTCTCGAAGCTTTAGTTTTATGTGTCTCTACCAAACTAAAATCACCAACTTCTTACGTCTTTGGTATCTTAAGAACTGCGTCAAGGCGGATTACCGATAATAAGCTTTTCTTACACTGTGCCGGCGGACAGGTCCTGTGCAAATACTATACATGCGTTCATGTAAAGAAGTATGGACACCTTTTATGTTGCTTTTGCTATTTGTTTAATTTACTTTCAAGCTAAATCAGTTTATTCATTTTGCTTGTCCGGTTGCTCTTGCAAAAATGACGATTTGGGGAGGTAAGTTTTGCCTTTTAAAACAAGAAAATCTATGTGAGAAGCGTGAGAAATGATGAACACAACTGTCAGTGTCAGTGGACTATTCTGCGTGTGCTCACTGATATCAGTTTAAGTGTATCGTACATCTGGGAATTGTGAAATAGGTACTTTCAAATTAAATGTAATTATAAATAAATTTCTGTTAATCATTTAAAGTTACTTGGATTATACCAGCTGTCATAGAGCCGTAAATAAGATTAATCTTAAACGGAAAAACATCATAAACTAATTGACCATATGTTTTTGCATTTTTTTTTCTCTCCGTAGCTAGCCTATATGAAAAAGAAATATATGACTATGTTTTTGACAATTTCAACGGTTTGCTTTGTAGATCATTGCTTTGTATGGAACCTGTCCTAAGAAGAATTCCTGAAAACATGCCTGAAGATTTAACAAAGTTACGGATAGAGAATTCACATCTTACTGAACTACCCCGTGGCTCGTTCTTCAAAGTCAGTGCCTTGGAGTTCCTTTGGTTGAATTTTGACAATATTACTGTCATGGATATGAAAAGCTTGGAGGGTCTCGGTAATTTGACAGAACTAAGACTTGAAGGGAATAAGCTGAGTTCAGTCCCATGGACGGCATTTCAGGATACACCAAATTTAAAGGTTCTGGACCTGAAACACAACCAATTGGATGTTCTACCAGAAAACGCTCTGCGATATTTGCCAAGGCTGACCTACTTAGACTTGTCTTTCAATAAGCTTAATGTCATATCTAGGGATGTCTTTCTGAGCTCAGCTCTAAACCACAGATCAGTAAAACACGGAAAATGCGAGGAGATCACTACCAGTGCAGTTTTAGCACTTAATGACAACCCTTGGCTATGTGACTGCCGCCTGAAAGGTTTTGTAGATTTCATCAGGTCTGTCAACCTTCCTGTTATTTTAACAAACTCGTACTTAACATGCACAGGCCCGGGTATCAGAGTTGGCAAGTATTTTCATGAAGTTGAATTAAAGAGTTGCATGAAGCCAGTTGTGACAGCACCAGTTACTAATCTCACAAGGCCATTGGGGTTTAATGTTACTCTCACATGCCTAATCAAGGGGAGTCCCGATCCAGTAATCCACTGGACATACGGTTTAAAGATGATACGAGGATTCACTGGTAAGATGTATTCTTACAGTACTTTTTCATAACATGGATAGTGTATACCAATGTTTCCCAATTTAGTCCTTGGGGACCCACAGACAGTCTGGGAAGGAGCAAAAACATGCACTGGCTGTGAGTTCCTGAGGACCGGATTGGGAAACACTAGTGTATACAATTAATGAGTGCATTTAGTGAGTGTACTGTTAAATTACTAATTGTATCAATGTTGCAGTTTTGGATATTTAGTAAATATAAAGCTGCCTGTTGACTGAAATGTGTCATTTTGATGGACTAACAGAGATACAGACACAGATGGATGAAGACACAATTAAGTCAGAGTTAGTGATCCCTTCACTGCACCTTGCTGCCAGGGGAGTCTACACATGCACTGCCATAAACATCATTGGCAACTCCTCTGCCAGCATTACAGTGAACATCAAGTCCCTGAATACCTCCTCCGCACTGCTGCCCATGCACTCCTTGGCTGCAGCTGAAGAAAACGCATTCATAGACATCCGCATCGCCAAGCAGACGGTGTACGGCATCACCCTAGAGTGGTACGCTGTGACGGAGACCCCGGATGAGACTTGGTACACCATACACTTCAGAAGGATTGATGACGCCAAGAAAGAAATGATCTACATTGGGCCCGGGATCAACAGCTACTCAGTCAATGACCTCCTGCCTGCCACTAAGTATGAGATGTGTGTGTCTCTGAAGAACCACACGCCCAGGAGCGGTCAGTGTGTCATGTTTTTGACGGGCAGCGACATCAGCGAGCTGGAGCAGAGGGAGAAGCTCATTCACATCGTCGTTATCGTCTGTGCGATGGTTCTGGCCATTCCCGCTGGGATGTATGCTTGCGCCGCTGAATCCCGCTTCCGGTGCCTTGACCGTTGCACTGAGGAGTGTAGGAGGAAAAGGCATGGGGAGAAGAATCTAAAGCCGGGGGGAAGACAGGGTACGTTCGACAGCCTCCAGGAAGGCAGCGACGAGGGCCCCTGCAGGGATCTTAATGAGGACAAGGGGATGAGGAGGTTCGATGAGAAATCGCTTAAAGTTAAAGGTGACCAAAGGACCACTGCTGAGCTCTACTAAATTCACGGCAATCATCACAGAAATAGACTTGCCCTCTAAAAAAGGGCCATAACTGAAATATTTCTTAGTCATATAGTATTTCAATGAGAGTGTGAACTATTCACTGTAATTATGTAGAGTTACATAGGAAATAAGTTGAGGTTTAGTTCTCGTTTGAGGTATAAAAGGCCTTTCTTCGACATATACTGGCAGAATACATACTATCTGAATATTTATTCAAGCAAATGTTAAAATAAGTTTGATACTTTCAGAAACGTTTGATGTTTTTATTGAGAATGCTTTTTTTCCTTTTGAGGTATTTGATGTTGAGTGGAGACAAAACCACTAATTCCAGTTATAATCTCAAAAAAAGAAAGCACCGTACTTTATATTTAAGATATAAAGTCATTCAAACGGCTTACAATGTTTCAAAAGAAGCTTTAAACTGTAAAATGTATTTTAAGAATAATGAATGATGGCTACTTTAATTAAGCAGGACGTTTATGTGTGTTTTACAGGGATTATTTCAGGGTAATGTCTGGGATTTCTAAATAAAACATTAACAGTTTAATTTATATGCCCACAATATTTTGTTTAATCTATTATATAGCTTTATGATACAAATTAATTTCAGTCTTCTGGAGACAGCATAGGATACAGTCACAGAAATAAATTACTCTTTTGAATGTCTGCCTGTTCCTTGCTATTATTGCCTAACAGAGCCTTAAATGAACAGCAGTGTAAAAGTTGACTTATATAACAGAAAAAGCCAACTAGATGTAAAAAGTTTTCACAGTTCTGAGTAATAGCCTATGTTTTAACATAGGTTAAGTATTGTTGAATATAACCTGAAGTTGATAATTAGTTATAATTTAAAAGACCTTAGCTTGTCTTTCATTATCAAGAATGAGCTGTAAGCCTTTCTAAAATGATATGCTTTATTTATGAAAATAAGAGATACAAAGACAATACAGAAATATATCATATATATGGTTCACATGTAGATCACATTAGATTCAATCTGCTTCATGATCCTTTCATAAAACAGTAACAATTGCATCACTTTTAGTACAATGCTGCACCTGTACTTGTGAGGCTCAACTACCAAACAAGAGCAATGACTTGCTGCTAGAAGTTCAATATTAATACTTATGCATTTTGATACAGAACTGATTAATGCAATGTATGTGCACTCATCATTCATTAACCCTTAGGAGTCTGAAGGTGTTTTGGAGCCCTGAAGAGATTCTGACATGTCCTGACATTTGTGTATTTTTCAGTTA